CGCCTCTGGGGGGAATAGCGTGCAGCGCTGCAAGCTCTGATTACACTGACGTGTTATAGCGCTGTACTCGCTGCGCTCGGGGGGGGGCGGTTTCACACCCCTGAGCGCAGCAAGTTACAGCGCTGTACAGCACCAGTGTAGCCAAGGCCTTAGCTTCTGCCGCAGCTGCACTTGTCTCTTATGCCTGGTGCTTGGCCTGCAGCTCAAAGCGGGCTCTGTGCTGTCGGACGGGGCCTGCATCTTGTACGAGCCCATGGTCCTTCTGCAGCACCCCGGACACTCCTGACTCAGGGGGGCCAATTCAGATTTTGGTGAGGATGAGGGAAGCAACTTTCACCGTGGTTCCAGGGGATACTTAGGCACCTGAAAACTCTAGAATTTTTTAGTGGATAACTTAGAAATTAGTTGTTGATTTCACTGTATACACACAAATCCACAAATATTTCCATCAGTAATAATTAAATTATTTACAGCTAGGGAAAGCAAGAAAACTGCTGCTTGAGAACTTGTTAGAGTCAAAATTCAGTGATATAGACTTCTGAATTGGGCCTGTTACAAATGGACTAGTGAATGAATAGTTAAATCCTTTCTGGTTTTCGGATATTTATTTTGTAGATCTTGACATGGGATATTGACACATAGTGGGTTTTGCTGTTTTGTTGTAGTCATGTTGGTACCCGGATATAAGAGCCACAAGCTTGATCTCTGATCGTGTGATTTTTGAATGCTTGAAGTTGGCAGTCCTGGGTTTGCACCAGTTCAGCTCTAATCGCTGTAGCTATGTCCGCCGCTAAACCTCAAAGTCTTAACATGGCAATCAGTAAAATCTTTTCAGAAACCTTCAAATTATGGGAACTGTGGCCCAGCTTTTCTCTCAGTGATAGTGACATTTCCTCTAATCATGCGTCTCCTTTTTTTTTCTAAAAAAAAAGAAGCAAACACCCATCACTGGAGAATGTAGGTTCAGCAACTTCTTTTTGCGGTCAAACAGCAGCCTTTTCAAAGGGACGTGGGGTGGGGCAGCTGATAGATCTAGGAACGTGACACCATACAACTGGTCAGTGAGTCAGTTTCATTTTCAACTCTCACAAAAGAAAGAGGGTTCCTGCGATCTCCTGGAGAACCTAGATTTTCCGGAGGAGAGATTCACCCGCCGAGGGAACCAGGACCATGAGGATTTTCTCTGTTTTGCTTTGGATTCTTTTCCCAGGTAAGAGTGACATGGTCTTTTTGTGGATCACTAGAAATACAATGCAAGTATTGGGTTTGCACAGGGTTTGTCAGCTTCACCAACAGAGCTTGAAAGTCTCAGCTCTGCTCTTGCTGTGGTTCTAACTCACAGGGGAGATGGAGCTTACAAAGTGGGCAGGACAGTAAAGATTTCAGCACAGAATCTGTGTCTGTGGAGAAAATTTTCTATGAAGACAAAGCAAGGGAAACTTCAGCTGAAAAGGAGAATTTTTCAGATCTTCTCAGAACAGCTGGACAAAGAACAGAAAACAATATTCATTATAACTATTTGATAAAAACATTGCCAGCATTTGCAACCAATATTATATGCAACATACACTGAGGCTAAGAATGTAGCCAGATTCTAAAAGGGATTGGAGATTTACAGGGATATTGAGAATATCCAGAGTTATCATAATTAGCATCAACCAAAATTTTGGATGAGAAATAAGATGTTCCTACTGTCAAGTATATTCGTCGAAAATACAATTGACACCTGCATTCACTCCAAGCCTCTGTGCGCTGCCAGAGTGGTGCAAAGGGGCCTGCGTGGAAATAAGAATCAAGCCTAATTTTGAGCCCCTTTTATAGTTATTTATTAACCTGCTGAGAGCAGCCCACCCCCGCTCCCCTGCCCCATTCACCTGCTCCCACCCAGCCCCAGGGGAGAGGGGCAATTGCTCTTGGTCCCTTTGCACAGTTTTAAAACGTCAAGTTTTTGGACAGGTGAACCTGGAAGCTGCAGGCTCTGATCCCCCCTGTCAGCCCCGCAAAATGTTGAAGCTTCACCCACAACTCCTATACACACCCCGGGGCATGTGGGGCTAGGTCATTGCTGGTGGCAGGCAGAAGGGCAGGGCCGCAAGCAGATGCTTTGGGTGGCCACTCCGGAGAGGGGCGGCAGGTCCAGCTTTTCGCCAGCAATTCACCCCTCATTCCCTCTCGGAGTGAAGGACCTCCCGCCGAAGTTTCGCAGATATCCATCCCGGCTTTTTTTTTTTTGGGGGGGGGGGAGGGGTTCTCTGCTTGGGGCGGCAAAAACCCTGGAGCCGGCCCTGCAGAAGGATGCCCCGGGTCTCACTGTCTGTCTCTCGCAGGCTGCTGGGCGCTGACGGGCCCCGGGGCAGTGCGCGGCCCCCCGGGCGGGTCGGTGG